AAGAGGCCCCAGGATGCCCCAGGAAGCCACAGGAGAGCCCAAGAGGGCCCGGAGGCCCCAGGAGGCCCCAGGAGGCCCTTGGAGGCCCCAGGAGGCCCGAGGAGGGCCCAGGAGGCCCCAGGAAGCCACAGGAGGCCCCAGGAGAGCCCAGGAGGGCCCAGGGGGGCCCAGGACCCCCCCAGGAGGCCCCAAGAAGACCCAGGAGGGCCAGGAGGCCCCATGAGGGCCTGTTCAGGGATGCGTAGCCTCATGCAGTGTAACAAAGTGTGTGTGTGTGTGTGTGTGGTGTGTGTGGTGTGTGGTGTGTGGTGTGTGTGTGTGTGGTGTGTGTGTGTGTGTGTGTGTGTGTGTGTGTGTGTGTGTGTGTGTGTGTGTGTGTGGTGTGTGCGTGTGTGGTGTTTGCGTGTGTGTGTGTGTGTGTGTGTGTGTGTGTGTGTGTGTGTGTGTGTGTGTGTGTGTGTGTGTGTGTGTGTGTGTGTGTGTGTGTGTGTGTGTGTGTGTGTGTGTGTGTGTGTGTGTGTGTGTGTGTGTGTGTGTGTGTGTGTGTGTGTGTGTGTGTGTGTGTGTGTGTGTGTGTGGGGGGAACCGCTATTTTGCGAAGGAGGAGGAAGGATGGGGGAAGCGAAGGAGAGGACGGGGATGAGGGAGGAGGAGGAGGAGGGGGAGGAGGAGGAAGAGGCGTAGTTGGAGGAGAAGGAGGAGGGCGAGCGGAAGGAAGAGGTACTTGATGGAACACGTTTCCACACTCAATTTCATGTGTACCCTCGGCGGGAGGAGGAGGAGGATGAGGAGGAGGAGGAGGAGGAGGAGGATGCGAGGAAAAGGAGAAAAGGGAGGAGGAGGATGAGGAGGCAGGAGGAGGAGGAGGTGGAGGACGACGGGGAAGGAAGAAGGCGACGACGACGACAGGAGTCCACCATAAAAGGCATCGGCGTTTTTTCGCTCTTGCAGTTCCCTGGAATATTGGAGCTATCTCGGGGCCCTCTTGGGACCATTTGGGGAGCTTTCTGATCCCTCTTGGCCCTCTCGGTGGCATTTCGGACAATTTTGGAGGACATCGATCAAAGAAGGGGTGTCCCCAATTAGCTTCGCCCCGTAGGAGCCAGAACAATCGCCGCTTGGGCCCTCTTTGGACGCTCTCGGGGCGCTCTTGGGCGCTCTTGAGGCCGTCGTGGAGCCCCATCTGGACCCCTCTTAGGGTTCTCTTTGGCGATCCTGGAACCATGTTTGAGGCCTCGGAATCGCGTCCAACGCGACAAGGCAAGACGGCAGTACACATTGAATAGCTGTATGCTTTTGACGGATCTTGGCATCTTGGGGGTCCGCTTGGGAGGCTCCGTGGCCAATTGGAGCCGTCTTGGGGCGGTCTTGGGGCCTCTTGGAGGCATGTTGGAGGCCATCTTGGAGGCCATCTCGAGCTATCTGGGGCCACCCTGGAGCAATCTTGGGCCATCTTGGACACTCTGACCGCTCGCGGGGGGGGCGTCCCGACCCAGGGGAGGGGGTAGGGGAAGGGGCAGACCCCTCCCCGAAGGGGAAGAAATGGGCCCCTCCCCCCTCCTCCCCCCAATCCCTCTCGCCGCCCCCCCTTCCGCCTCCCCTGCAGGCTGTTGGTGCGTCTGGTGCGTCTGCCGTTGGCGATCCCCACCTGCAAAACGTTCATGGTGAACGCTTCGACTTGATGAAGGAGGGGCGCCATGTTCTGATCAACATCCCTCGCGGGAAGGGCGCCGAGCAGGCCATGCTGCGCGTGCAGGCCGACGCGCGCCGCCTGGGCGGGAATTGCGCGGACATGTACTTCCAAGAGCTGAACGTCACGGGGTCGTGGGCAGAGGCGAGACAGGCTGGAGGGTACCGCTACAGCGCCTCGCAGAGCGACGTGGAGACTCCGGGATGGGCTGCCTTTGGGAAGGTTGAGCTGAAAGTCGTTCATGGGCGTACGGACGGCGGCCTCCGCTACCTGAACGTGTACGTGAAGCACTTGGCGCGCGCAGGCTTTCCCGTCGGAGGCCTGCTGGGCGAGGACGACCACGATGACGTAATGGCCCCTCCGGAGCACTGTGCCCAGAAGATGGCCCTGGTCGACGGCGTGGCGGGGGGCCTCGGGGCCCCCTCGGCGTCCTCGGTCGCAGAGGCGAGCCTCGCGTGAGGCGCGCGAGGCCCGTGAGGCTCGCGTGAGGCGCGCCCCTCGGGCCTGCGCCTGGCGCCTGGGCCCTGCAGCCCCGGCCCCTCTCTTCTCCCTCCTTCCTGGGGAGCTGGCATAGGGGCCGAGGCTCGGAGGATCGCTATAGTTTCTGTTCTTGAAAAGTGGCGCTGCTGGAGGGATGAGGAGGAGGGGGGGAGGATGAGGAGGGGGAGGAGGGGGAGGCCAGAGCGAGCCCAGGGCGCCTCGGCGATGCTGTCATGCACCCTGCCGCCCCCGAGCCTCTCCCACTCCTCCAGGGAGGCCCCGCCTGAGCGAGGGGGGTATTCGAAAGCCTTGTTATCTATAGGGTTTCGTGCCCCTCCCACTCCTCCAGGGAGGCCCCGCCTGAGCGAAGAGGGTATTCGAAAATCTTGTGATTTATCAGGTTTCGTGCCCCTTCACCCTTCCAGGGAGGCCCCGCCTGAGCGAGGAGGGTTTTCGAAAACCATCTTGTTTATCAGATTTCGTGCCCCTTCGACCGAGACGACGGCCGCTAGGAGAACGGGGCAATCTTGCAAGAGTCTTGTATGCCATTCGATAGCGTCGCTGCCGCTGTCCCCCTGTATCCATCTTCCTACACACTCTGCGCCACCCCTGTAATTCCGCGCCCCAATAAAAAACAAAACACATGTGGGCAGCATCATTTTTTTTTGTCAGGGATGGTAGCCCTGCGCACGGCAGGGACTATGCCGGCGCCCCCGCCGTCCATGTCAAAAAAGATACAAAGTATTCGCGGGCCTCGCGAACATGACTCAAGACTTTGCCCCAAAGTGTACTTTGCGTTGTTTTTTTGACAGGGATGGTTTGGGGGGGCCGTACCGGGTTGGCCGCGCATGCCCCAAATGTGGAGGCAGAGTGCGGTTGGTATGGTTTTTGAAAAGGATGGTGTGGGGCGGGCCCGCATGGTGTCAGCATGGTTCCTGGTTGGACGTCGGCCAGCTGGGGGTGTATATTCATGAGGAACAGTGATCACCCCCTCCCCGAAGGGGAGGAGGGAAGATGGAAGAGGAAACTCGCCAAACCACTCGCGCCCTAAAGGGCTGGTCATAGCAGAGGTCACATGATTTTGAATAAAAAATGAGCTGTCCACAAACTCGCTCCCTGCCCCGATCGCCGTCACATTCGCCGCTTGCGTTACTGGTGCGTTCCGTGCTTGCGCGCTCGAGGATGGTGCTCCCCCAGGGCCCGAATAGTCTGGTCGTCTGGTCGGACCGTAGGCCATTGCTTGCTCTCCAGGTCGACAGAGTGTACGGCAGGTTCGTGTCGTGCCGAAGCGGCAGCGACCTGAGGGCGTGCGTTCTTCAAGGTTGAAGGCCTCCAGTGGCCCAGAGTCGGCCGGCATGGAACGACCTGGCGATCGAAAAGCCGCCGATACGCCACAGCAGTCACGACGCGAACCTGTCCTAGCTGTGCATGGGGCCCTCCAGGCCCGCAAGGTGCGGCGGGTGCGTGGGGTTGCCTCTCCGTTTCGGGCCTCTCTGGGCCCCGGCCTGCGCCGCCCGCGCCTCGAGCCGGCCGCTCCAATCCTGCGAACACAGAGGGACAACAAGCTTCGCAGCGACCTGACCTTGCCAGCCGGTGACCTCGAGAGGCCGCTGGGGTCCCAGCGGCCTCTCGAGGGCAGCTTGCTGGGTCTGGGTGCGTCGTCCCTGCCCGCGCGTTCGGCTGTCGCGCGCCTGCCTCGTTTCTTCTCATCTCTGGTTTTCGGCCCAGCGCCCTAGGAGTAAGCTATTCACTGTGCACGGGGGGGCCCAGAGAGCCACCGGCGCAAGCTCTGGGGGCCTCCAGCCAGCGACGCCTTTTTTCGGCCAGAGGGGCCGCCCTTTGGAGCTGCGCCGAGCTCTCCCCTCGCCCACGGGGCAGCCATATGGGCGCCGGCGCGCGCCCGCCGCGCTCCTGTGTTCTGGCCCCTGGTCGGGCGTCGGCGCCGCCCGCGGCCCCCCTCGCGCCCCTCTCTGCCTCCTCGTGTGGTCGCTATGGCCTCGCTTTCCTCGGCTGGGGCGAGGGCTCCTCGGCTGGGGCGAGGGCTCCTCTTCCTCGTGCGCTCTGCGTGCCCTCGTGTGCTGTGTGTGTGTGTGGTGTGCGGTGCTGTCTCCCTTCTGCTTCCTCGCCTCGCGCCTCCGCGCCTGCCCGGTCGGCCTCCCGGTCGCGCCCGGTCCTCCTCCTCGTCCTCGCCCTGGCTTTCCGCTCCAGCTCTGCGCTTTCTCGCTTGCCCCCCCCCCCCTCGCCCTCGTTTTTTCGCTGGCCTGCCTGTCCCTCCCCGACCCGGGCGGCCGTCCCTTCCGTTGGGTCACACTTCGGCGCTGCGCGTGCGCGTGCGCGCGGGGTCGCCAGCCCTCCTGCGGCTGATGTTCTCGTCTTGACTTCGCCGCTATCGCTCCTCCTCCTCCTCCTCCTCCTCCTCCTCCTGCCCCTCCCTCCTTCCGCCTCCTCCTGTCGCCTCCTCCTCGCGCTCCCTGGGCATGGGCCTCCTCTGCCCACTGCGCCACTGTCGCTACTTTCATGGGCTCCTGGGTGGTTCAGCGGAGTGCCGCGTTACGCGGACCCTAACAGGGGTCTCGCCTCCCCTGGGGTCTTTTGAGGCATCGCGGGGCATCTTCGATGCTTCCTGGTGATCCAGGAGCAGATTTTGCGAGGACGTCCACGCGAAGACGCTGGTTTCCAGTTGCTCCCCGGGTCCAACGGATGATTCATTGGATTCAGTGGAACACGTGTCAGGAGGCGCGATTGGGACATCATTTCCTCACTCGCCGGGGGTCATGATGATGCGAGGTCAAAGAGAAATCCCCTCAACACCTCATTGCTATTATGATTCTTCGACTTTTATGAATACCCCTTGCTGTCCGTCTCACTCCTCGTATTTTCCATTTGATTGCTCGTCCTAGCATGTCTATCGCAACGGCTTGTTATCGAAGACAGCTTGGTTCAAGATTGGCTGAGGCGACGGGCATCTCGTCTTGCTACCGTTCAAGCCCACTCAGATCTTGGGTTTCTGACCCACACGATACCTTATGATGCGCGTCGCCCTTCTCTGGGCGGCTTTCACGAAGTTCAATGCTTTCGCCATCACCCTCCCGCCAGGTCGCATGATGTCGAGCAATTTGGTGACAGATGGTGATTTTGAAGCTGCGAGCTCGAGTTGGACAACCGGTGATCCTTGCCCGTGGAACAGCATCAAACCAGTCGGTTGGGATGTTGGTAGCTTCGGTGGGGACTACATCGTCACTTCAGGAACCGGCAACTGTGATGGCATGGGCCAGGTGGCAAGGCAGGGCACTTTTTTCGTCCAGTTGCACAGTCACGACCAGTTCTTCCAGCAAGTGTCCGGGCTTCCTGTGGGCGATGCCCTCGCTCTCTCTTTCTGGGCGACAGCTAGACCCACCCAAGGCGATTCCTACCTTATGGTCATGGTTGACGATGTTCAAATTGGCAACACTGGTATCATCCCCGATTGCACCTCAAGAGCAGCATCTTGCTGGACACAACACGAGTTCACATTCACCCCCACGTCAGCCACGGCAAAGATTGGTTTCCAATTCTGCCGTGGAAACCGGGACATGACGCCTGGATGTTGTGCCTCCTGTGGTGGTTGGCATGCGTCACCCTTCATCGACGACGTCATGCTGATGGGTGCGGGTACGCCAAGTCCAACGCCATCACCGACGCCACCACCAACGCAGGCACCCACACCGGGCGGCCGGCCCCCGTGACGGATGGATGCGTGGGTCGTCGGACCAACTAATTGTGAAGATCGGGCGCAGTACGAACGGGATGGATGTTTTGGAGCCGTGGGGTCGGAGACATCTTTGTTCCCAACCCTCCTGCGTGTTGGGTCCTCGTTTTGAGTTCGCAGCGCCGCGCTCCACCTTCCTTCCTTCCTTCCTTCCTCCTCCCCTCCTCCCCTTCCTTCCTCCTTCTCCTCTTCTCTCCGCCCTTGTCAGCATCATCACCATCACTATCACTATCTCTATCATCACGTTTCGTGGCCCCATAGGGAGCGCCACCGAAGGCCCCAGTGGCAGGGTTCACATACCGCCTCCTGACAATTTCGGCACACCCCTCACACGGTTCGTAGCCCCATAGGGAGCTCTACCGAAGGCCCCGGAGGCAAGGTTCACATACCGCCCCCGACTATTTCGGCACACCCCTCACACGGTCCGTGGCCCCATAGGGAGCTCTACCGAAGGCCCCAGTGGCAGGGTCCACAGACCGCCCCCCCGACCATCTCGGCACACCCCTCACACGGTTCGTGGCCCCATAGGGAGCTCTACCGAAGGCCCCAGTGGCAGGGTCCACAGACCGCCCCCCGACCATCTCGGCACACCCCTCACACGGTGCGTGGCCCCATAGGGAGCTCTACCGAAGGCCCAAGTGGCAGGGTCCACAGACCGCCCCCCGACCATCTCGGCACACCCCTTCACGCGGTTCGTTCCCCCCCTAGGCAGGTCTTTGGCGAAGCGTTCAGGGTTACCGCAGATCCCTCCGCGAGTGCTTGTGTATTGAGCGGTCCTGCGTGTAGTCGCCTCGTGTTTAAGACGGGGGTTGGGTTCCTCGCCAGGCTAATTACGTATGTGCCTATAGATTGGCCTTCTCCAGCGACACGAATCCGTGTCATTTAACGTATGTGCTTATAGGAAGCCCCAGGAGGGCCAGGAGGGCCCAAGAGGCCCCAAGATGCCCCAGGAAGCCACAGGAGAGCCCAAGAGGGCCCGGAGGCCCCAGGAGGCCCTAGGAGGCCCCAGGAGGCCCGAGGAGGGCCCAGGAGGCCCCAGGAAGCCCCGGGAGGCCCCAGGAGAGCCCAGGAGGGCCCAGGGGGGCCCAGGAACCCCCCAGGAGGCCCCAAGAAGACCCAGGAGGGCCAGGAGGCCCCATGAGGGCCTGATCAGGGATGCGTAGCCTCATGCAGTGTAACGAAGTGTGTGTGTGTGTGTGTGTGTGTGTGTGTGTGTGTGTGTGTGTGTGTGTGTGTGTGTGTGTGTGTGTGTGTGTGTGTGTGGGGGGAACCGCTATTTTGCGAAGGAGGAGGAAGGATGGGGGAAGCGAAGGAGAGGACGGGGATGGGGGAGGAGGAGGAGGAGGAGGGGGAGGAGGAGGAAGAGGCGTAGTTGGAGGAGAAGGAGGAGGGCGAGCGGAAGGAAGAGGTACTTGATGGAACTCGTTTCCACACTCAATTTCATGTGTACCCTCGGCGGGAGGAGGAGGAGGAGGAGGAGGAGGAGGAGGAGGATGCGAGGAAAAGGAGAAAGGGGAGGAGGAGGATGAGGAGGCAGGAGGAGGAGGAGGTGGAAGACGACGGGGAAGGAAGAAGGCGACGACGACGACAGGAGTCCACCATAAAAGGCATCGGCGTTTTTTCGCTCTTGCAGTTTCCTGGAATATTGGAACTATCTCGGGGCCCTCTTGGGACCATTTGGGGAGCTTTCTGATCCCTCTTGGGGATCTCTTGGGGCCCTCTCGGTGGCATTTCGGACAAGTTTGGAGGACATCGATCAAAGAAGGGGTGTCCCCAATTAGCTTCGCCCCGTAGGAGCCAGAACAATCGCCGCTTGGGCCCTCTTTGGACGCTCTCGGGGCGCTCTTGGGCGCTCTTGAGGCCGTCGTGGAGCCCCATCTGGACCCCTCTTAGGGTTCTCTTTGGCGATCCTGGAACCATGTTTGAGGCCTCGGAATCGCGTCCAACGCGACAAGGCAAGACGGCAGTACACATTGAATAGCTGTATGCTTTTGACGGATCTTGGCATCTTGGGGGTCCGCTTGGGAGGCTCCGTGGCCAATTGGAGCCGTCTTGGGGCGGTCTTGGGGCCTCTTGGAGGCATGTTGGAGGCCATCTTGGAGGCCATCTCGAGCTATCTGGGGCCACCCTGGAGCAATCTTGGGCCATCTTGGACACTCTGACCGCTCGCGGGGGGGGCGTCCCGACCCAGGGGAGGGGGTAGGGGAAGGGGCAGACCCCTCCCCGAAGGGGAAGAAAGGGGCCCCTCCCCCCTCCTCCCCCCAATCCCTCTCGCCGCCCCCCCTTCCGCCTCCCCTGCAGGCTGTTGGTGCGTCTGGTGCGTCTGCCGTTGGCGATCCCCACCTGCAAAACGTTCATGGTGAACGCTTCGACTTGATGAAGGAGGGGCGCCATGTTCTGATCAACATCCCTCGCGGGAAGGGCGCCGAGCAGGCCATGCTGCGCGTGCAGGCCGACGCGCGCCGCCTGGGCGGGAGTTGCGCGGACATGTACTTCCAAGAGCTGAACGTCACGGGGTCATGGGCAGAGGCGAGACAGGCTGGAGGGTACCGCTACAGCGCCTCGCAGAGCGACGTGGAGACTCCGGGATGGGCTGCCTTTGGGAAGGTTGAGCTGAAAGTCGTTCATGGGCGTACGGACGGCGGCCTCCGCTACCTGAACGTGTACGTGAAGCACTTGGCGCGCGCAGGCTTTCCCGTCGGAGGCCTACTGGGCGAGGACGACCACGATGACGTAATGGCCCCTCCGGAGCACTGTGCCCAGAAGATGGCCCTGGTCGACGGCGTGGCGGGGGGCCTCGGGGCCCCCTCGGCGTCCTCGGTCGCAGAGGCGAGCCTCGCGTGAGGCGCGCGAGGCCCGTGAGGCTCGCGTGAGGCGTGCCCCATCGGGCCTGCGCCTTGCGCCTGGGCCCTGCAGCCCCGGCCCCTCTCTTCTCCCTCCTTCCTGGGGAGCTGGCATAGGGGCCGAGGCTCGGAGGATCGCTATAGTTTCTGTTCCTGAAAAGTGGCGCTGCCGGAGGGATGAGGAGGAGGGGGGGAGGGGGGGGAGGGAGGGGGAGGCCAGAGCGAGCCCAGGGCGCCTCGGCGATGCTGTCATGCACCCTGCCGTCCCCGAGCCTCTCCCACTCCTCCAGGGAGGCCCCGCCTGAGCGAGGAGGGTATTCGAAAGCCTTGTGATTTAGAGGGTTTCGTGCCCCTCCCACTCCTCCAGGGAGGCCCCGCCTGAGCGAAGAGGGTATTCGAAAATCTTGTGATTTTTCAGGTTTCGTGCCCCTTCACCCTTCCAGGGAGGCCCCGCCTGAGCGAGGAGGGTTTTCGAAAACCATCTTGTTTCTCAGATCTCGTGCCCCTTCGACCGAGACGACGGCCGCTAGGAGAACGGGGCAATCTTGCAAGAGTCTTGTATGCCATTCGGTAGCGTCGCTGCCGCTGTCCCCCTGTATCCATCTTCCTACACACTCTGCGCCACCCCTGTAATTCCGCGCCCCAATAAAAAACAAAACACATGTGGGCAGCATCATCTTTTTTTCGTCAGGGATGGTAGCCCTGCGCACGGCAGGGACTATGCCGGCGCCCCCGCCGTCCATGTCAAAAAAGATACAAAGTATTCGCGGGCCTCGCGAACATGACTCAAGACTTTGCCCCAAAGTGTACTTTGCGTTGTTTTTTGACAGGGATGGTTTGGGGGGGGGCCGTACCAGGTTGGCCGCGCATGCCCCAAATGTGGAGGCAGAGTGCGGTTGGTATGGTTTTTGAAAAGGATGGTGTGGGGCGGGCCCGCATGGTGTCAGCATGGTTCCTGGTTGGACGTCGGCCAGCTGGGGGTGTATATTCATGGGGAACAGAGATCAACCCCTCCCCGAAGGGGAGGAGGGAAGATGGAAGAGGAAACTCGCCAAACCACTCACGCCCTAAAGGGCTGGTCACAGCAGAGGTCACATGATTTTGAATAAAAAATGAGCTGTCCACAAACTCGCTCCCTGCCCCGATCGCCGTCACATTCGTCGCTTGCGTTACTGGTGCGTTCCGTGCTTGCGCGCTCGAGGATGGTGCTCCCCCAGGGCCCGAATAGTCTGGTCGTCTGGTCGGACCGTAGGCCATTGCTTGCTCTCCAGGTCGACAGAGTGTACGGCAGGTTCGTGTCGTGCCGAAGCGGCAGCGACCTGAGGGCGTGCGTTCTTCAAGGTTGAAGGCCTCCAGTGGCCCAGAATCGGCCGGCATGGAACGACCTGGCGATCGAAAAGCCGCCGATACGCCACAGCAGTCACGACGCGAACCTGTCCTGGCTGTGCATGGGGCCCTCCAGGCCCGCAAGGTGCGGCAGGTGCGTGGGGTTGCCTCTCCGTTTCGGGCCTCTCTGGGCCCCGGCCTGCGCCGCCCGCGCCTCGAGCCGGCCGCTCCAGTCCTGCGAACACAGAGGGACAACAAGCTTCGCAGCGACCTGACCTCGCCAGCCGGTGACCTCGAGAGGCCGCTGGGGTCCCAGCGGCCTCTCGAGGGCAGCTTGCTGGGTCTGGGTGCGTCGTCCCTGCCCGTGCGTTCGGCTGTCGCGCGCCTGCCTCGTTTCTTCTCATCTCTGGTTTTCGGCCCAGCGCCGTAGGAGTAAGCTATTCACTGTGCACGGGGGGGCCCAGAGAGCCACCGGCGCAAGCTCTGCGAGCCTCCAGCCAGCGACGCCTTTTTTCGGCCAGAGGGGCCGCCCTTTGGAGCTGCGCCGAGCTCTCCCCTCGCCCACGGGGCAGCCATATGGGCGCCGGCGCGCGCCCGCCGCGCTCCTGGTTGTTCTGGCCCCTGGTCGGGCGTCGGCGCCGCCCGCGGCCCCCCTCGCGCCCCTCTCTGCCTCCTCGTGTGGTCGCTATGGCCTCGCTTTCCTCGGCTGGGGCGAGGGCTCCTCGGCTGGGGCGAGGGCTCCTCTTCCTCGTGCGCTCTGCGTGCCCCTCGTGTGCTGTCTGTGTGTGTGTGGTGTGCGGTGCTGTCTCCCTTCTGCTTCCTCGCCTCGCGCCTCCGCGCCTGCCCGGTCGGCCTCCCGGTCGCGCCCGGTCCTCCTCCTCGTCCTCGCCCTGGCTTTCCGCTCCAGCTCTGCGCTTTCTCGCTTGCCCCCCCCCCCCTCGCCCTCGTTTTTTCGCTGGCCTGCCTGTCCCTCCCCGACCCGGGCGGCCGTCCCTTCCGTTGGGTCACACTTCGACGCTGCGCGTGCGCGTGCGCGCGCGGGGTCGCCGAGCAAAAGACGAAGAGCCAGGCATGGTCGCGCACTTGTTCGCGCCCTCGTGTGGCACGCGGGCGTCTCGAGTTGGAGCATCCTGGGCTGCTCACGATCACCCGTGGGGCTCGCCCGCGTGTGCGTGGGCAGCGGGGCGGGCTCCGCCCGTTCTCAAACATGCTATACAGGACATCGCGAGCATTTCTTTCACCGAGCGCGGTTCTCGAACATAGGGCCGCGGATGAACTGCGTGCACTGCGCCAGGGTTCCTGGGATGCTTCTGGCTGCTCGTTTTGGCCAGCTTCTTCGTGCACAGGGGAGTTCGGGCGGGGCTAGGACAGGGATAAGTCGTTCCAGGGCATTCTGGAACGCTTGACAAGGGCGCGACGTCTGCTACATCCTCCCAGAACCGCCGCCGGATCTCATATATCCAAGATTCATCTGGGTCCGATTTTGTCCCTGTCCTGGCTTCGTCTTAGTGGGCGGTGGGTCGCAGTGGGGACGTCGGCAGCAGACAGCTCCAGCGAGAGGTGCGCCGCAGGCCGCCAGTGGTGGGCTATGGGCGCCAATCGAGCGCACGGGCGCTGTACCTCGAACGGCAAAGACAGTTACGCGTGGCGCCTGCTTCCGATGCTGCCGATATTCGGCCGATTGCCCGTCCGATTGCGTGCCCGCCCACTTGCTCCCCCGCCCGCGCATCTTGCTGCCCGTTTGCGTCTTGCCTGCGTGAAGTTGTCCGCCAGCCCCCTTCCGCGGTTGTTGTTCCTGGTCCTTCTCCGTCCTGGTCCGTCCGGTCCCGTCCCGCGCCCTCCCTGCCCCCCGTCCTGCGGGGCCACGCCGGTCTCAGCACGTATCCCGTTCCGTCTTGCGGTGTCCTCCTCAATTTTAGGGTGGTTCTGTGGCCTGTTTTTGTTGTCCTTGTCTGCGCGGTGCTTCGCGATCATGCTGTGTCGCGGCTTGTGCAGGAACGTGACGTGTGTAGTGCATCATCAGGCGGTGCCGTGTCTTGGCGTCGTGTCGCATGGTGCCGCCTTTTGTTGGCCCAGTGGCAGGGGGTACCGTGTGCATAGTACCTGTCATGTGCGAGTGGCGGCGGCCTGCCCGCAGGAGTTGTGTTGACACGGGATCGGCAACGCCCATTTTCTTAGTTGGGCCAAGTTTCTTGACGCTACCCTTGTTCAGAAAAACGCCCCCCAGGAGAGTTGTCAGGACCTTTAGTGGAACGTAAGGGGAGCGCAAGTCCAGTCGAACCAGGGGTCAGCTCGAACAAATCCCACAGTGGCCACACTAAGGACCTCCCGAGGCCGCTTGGGGGCCTCTTGGATCCATGTAGTGGTTTTCCGGTGGCCGTCTTGAACACGTTTGGGATTCTTGTGGGGGTCTTCGGGCCTCTTGGGGGCTTCGTGCGGCCTCTTGATGTCCTCTTAGTTGGACATCTTCGAGCCTCTGGGAGATTTTTGGGCTCGAGTATGGTGGTACTGAGACCGTCGGGTCAAGTCGCGAGTCCATTGGCATATCCGTCCTTGCAGTGCCTGTCCCATGAAGCTGTTCTATGTTGCAGAAGTCTGGGGTCTTCTCCAAGCAGGCAGCGGCATCCCAGGCCACGTCGCGTGTGTGGAATTTGAGGTTTCGTGGCCACCAGGCCCCGCCCAGGCGGCACGCTGGTGGCCGCCCGATGCTGTTGGCCCCACGTCTTGGCGTGTGGTTTCTGGAATGCAAGGTTTCATTGGCGCGCGCGCGCGCCCCCCGTGGTGCTGGCCATCGGACCACCGGCGAGAACCGATCTTGCATTGCAGGCGGCCCAGTTGCTGGCCACCTGGCTTGGCCCCCCGCTTCGAGGTGCTCCCGTCTGGCTTCCCAGGGCCCTGCGCTGGCGCCGGCCAGGCGTCTTGCGCCTCGTCTGTTCTCCGGGCGCCGCCGTTCCAGCCTGGACGCTAGTGCACGTCTCCTTGCTGCACCGTCGTGTGTGTGCGTGTGTGGGTGCGTCGGTGCGTGTGTTGTGTGTTCTGTGTTCTGTGTTGTGTGTTGTGTGTAGTGTGTTGTGTGTTGTGTGTGTTGTGTGTTGTGTGTTGTGTGTGTGTTGTGTGTTGTGTGTGTGTTGTGTGTTGTGTGTGTGTGTGTGTTGTGTGTGTTGTGTGTGTGTGTTGCGTGTGTTGTGTGTGTGTGTTGTGTGTTGTGTGTGTGTTGTGTGTGGTGTGTGTGTGGTGTGTGTGGTGTGTGTGTGTGTGTGTTGTGTATGGTGTGTGTGTGTGTGGTGTCTGTGTGGTGTGTGGTGTGTGTGTGTTGTGTGTGTGAGGTGTGTGTGTGTGTGTGTGTTGTGTGTGTGGTGTGTGTGTGTGTGTGGTGTGTGTGTGTGGTGTGTGTGGTGTGGTGTGTGTGTGTGTGGTGTGTGTGTGGTGTGTGTGTGTGTGTGTGTGTGTGTGTGTGTGTGGTGTGTGTGGTGTGGTGTTTGTGTGTGTGTGGTGTGTGTGTGATGTGTGTGTGTGTGTTGTGTGTGTGTGTGTGTGTGTGTGTGTGTGGTGTGTGTGTGTGTGCGTGTGGTGTGCGTGTGTGTATGTGTTTGCGTGTGTGGTGTTTGTGTGTGTGTGTTGTGTTTGTGTGTGTGGTGTGTGTGTTAGTGTGTATGTGTGTGTGTGTGTTGTGTGTGTGTGGTGTATGTGTGTGTGGTGTGTGTGGTGTGTGTGTGTGTGGTGTGTGGTGTTTGTGTGGTGTGTGTGTGGTGTGTTTGGTGTGTGTGTGTGTTGTGTGTGTGTGGTATGTGTGTGTGGTGTGTGTTGTGTGTCGTGTGTGTTGTGAGTGTTG